AATATGGAACCTGTTCTGTTTGTGCAAGATATAATACTAATTACCAGTGGTGTCAATCATGTGATCCCAAATTGTTAACTCAAAGTTGGACTAGCAGTGGTAATGAAAAATTAGATGAAATAATCAGAAATACACAGCTTGAGGCAAAAGGATTTAATAGTTATTATTACCTTGAATGGGTTCCTTATGACCAACTCAAAGTTGAAAAAGAAATAGGTGAAGGTGGCTTTGCAATTGTATATAAGGGTTTCTGGTCAAATGGTTTTAGATTTGTTCATGAAAATAAAAGACAATATAGTGCTAATAGGTGTGTAGCATTAAAAAAATTAAAAAATTCACAAGATATTTCTGAGGAGTTTTTAAAAAAGGTAAGTAATTTAATATAATCAATTGACAATAATGATTTTTAAAATATATTAATTTTTATTAATTTTCATGAAAGCTTCAAAATTACATCAGATTTACAGGACTATATAATAATGTTGTTAATATTTATGGCATTTCACAAGATCCTGACACAAAAGAATATGTTTTAATAATGAGATATGCACTTGGTGGAAGTTTAAAAAATTACATAAAATCAAACTATAACAATTGGGATGAGAGAATTGAAATACTTTATAGTATTATCTTAAATTTAAATGCATTTCACAAAAAAGGACTTATACATTATAATCTTCACAGTGGTAATGTTCTGTATTTTAAATATGCACATCAAGCAATGATTGCAGATCTAGGGTTATCAGGCCCAGTTGATCAAGAAACATCAAGCAAAAATGATATATTTGGAGTACTGCCATATATTGCACCAGAGGTATTAAACAAGAAAACTTATACACAAGCATCTGACATTTATAGCTTTGGAATTTTAATGTCAGAATTATCAACATATCAACAGCCATTTAATGATCAACCACATGATCTAAACCTTGCTTGCAGTATCTGTAATGGTTTAAGGCCTGGCTTTTCAGATGGTACTCCAGAATGTTACATTGAATTAGCATACAAATGCATGGATGCTGATCCTGAGAAAAGACCAACAGCAAATGAAATTATAGAAATTATTACTTTTTGGAAAGATGCAGTTCTAAATTCATATAAATCTAATTATCCTAAAAAATTGCTTGGTGAATTAGGAAGAATAAGAAAAACATTTAAGGAAGCAGATAAAAAATCTTTTAACCCTTCAAAAATTACTGCAACTGTTCATCCAAATGCTGTTTACACAAGTAGATTATTGAATTTTACAAATCTCCCACAATTTATAAACTCCAACAAAGTTCCAATCATTAGTAATAATAATGGTAATTATCATCTATTATTTGGTTATTTATTTTAAAATTCAATATCAACATTGATTACATTAACATTATTTTAAATTATCATTTTATATAACCTAATCAAGTTGATTTGGATATTTTGATAAACACACTAACTGAGAAATTAAACAATGAATTAAATGATTCATTAAATATAAGAATTGATTATAAATCAGGTGGATTAATTAATTTAGTTGAATTACTTGAATTAGTTGAAATATTAGGAGCAATAAGTAATTGTATTGATTGTAAAATAAAATCATTAAATAATAATGAAATCAAAATTTTACTTGGTAAATTAAATGAAGTGGGTGAAGATCTTTTAAACAGTTTAGAAATAAATATGTCATTTGGAGGAGTATCTGGATTAGATATTAAATTATGTTATAGTTGTTACAAAAATAGGAAATCACCTAACAAATATGGAAATAAAGTATTAGCTAGACTTTTTCACCAACACAATATGGATTCAAAAACCATTAAATGGATTCCATTTAATGAATTTAAAGATGTGAAATATTTAGCTACAGGCGGATTTAGTGAAGTTCACAAAGCAACATGGATTAATTACTATGAACCTTTTTTTCAGAAATTTGAAAAAAAAACAGTTGCGTTGAAAAAGCTAAATTCTTCTATTAATTATACCATGGCTATTATCAAGGAGGTAAAATATTTGAATATTATTTTTAAAATATTATTTTTATTATAAATAGGAATTGCTATTTCTCACCGGTGGTGATTGTCACCACCTAAGGAATTATACAATTTATGATTAACCCCAACCC